AGCCGGTAGCCATTTTGGATCGGCATATTTGAAAGTTGAGATCAAAGAACATAACTTCAGTGAAAGTGCAGTGGAGAGGCCAACTATTCGGAGAAGCTACCCGGGAGACTGAGCGGGAGATGTGGAGCAAATATCCACACCTATTTGACACTCCAGGTATGATTCTAAACCCGTTCGATGATGAACGTTTGTTTAAGAAGGGGAGAATGTAATGACTCGATCGATCGTTTTGAGTATTACAACCCCGGTCCCCCATTTACTGCTCATATTTTGCTTTACAGATGTTATGTGACTTGCCGGGGTAGTTGGTTCGGGTCCGGTGAGGTTTCAGAATGAATTGAGATACTTTGTCTTAAGGATGAAAACCTAAGTTGAAAAGGTTGACCGAATGTTGAATTATATGTAAACGACTCCAGAATAGAGTTTTGATGATTCCAATAGCTTTGTATGGTGATTTTAGACTTAGTAGTGTGTCCGGATAATTATTTGGAAGTCTGTAGTTAAATTAGACTTGAAATGGCGAAAATAAAAAATTGAAAGTTTGACCGGGAGTTTATTTTATTGATATCGGGGCCGAAATCCGATTTTGTAAATTAGAATAGGTCCGTTATGCCATTTATGTCTTGTGCGCAAAATTTGAGGTCAATCGGACTTGATTTGATAGGTTTCGACATCGAATGTAAAAGTTGGAATTCGTTGTTTTCATTAGGCTTGAATTGGGGTACGATTCGTGATTTTAGCATTGTTTGATATGATTTGAGACCTTGACTAAGTTAGTATGATATTTTGGGCCTCATTGGTATAATTAGTTGAGGTCCCGTGGGCCTCGAGTTTCAGATGCTTAACGGATCAAAACTTGGACTTGGAGAATTCTCGAAAATTTCCAATTCTGGTGCAATCGCACCTACGATGGAATTGGTCGCAGGTGCGCGACCGCATAAGCGACATGGTGAGCGCAGAAGCGGGCTGGAGCATTGTGGGTAGAGGTCGCAGATGCGAGGGAAGTTCCACATCTGCGAGGTCGCAGATGCAAAGATGCGACCGCAGAAGCGAAAATAGGGGG